AAAAAAAGAAATGATGATTATTGACAAAAAAATGTCCACGAATAAGTGTTGAAATGACTGAACCGGAAACGCAACCATAAATGTACCTTTACTGAATCACTGAAAGATGTTTAAAAATAGTTGTTAATCGTTGTAGAGGTCAGTTAGCCAGTTCTTTTATTACAAGGTGAACAAAAGATATACGCGTTCATTAAGTAGTTTCCTTGGAAAAAATCATCAGGTTTTCATTATGTTCGGATATTTAAGGCGATTTTTCACCACGATTATCAACCACCCATAAGTGCTTGATTCACGAGAACCTGCTTTTGCATTATTCATAAAAATGTAGGCATGCTGCAAAGGAAATTGTTATATCAAGCGGTCTGTGTCTTAAAGTAGAATTGAAAATCGACTTCGTTACCACTTTAAAACGTGAGGAACTTGTCGATTTCTTCACGAAAACTTGCGCAGCATATTAACCAATTTTTCGAACTTAGAATTACCATTAACAATTTACTTTCGCATGAGAACAACTTATTTTCCTCTTTGCGATTTTTTCACTTAATTTGTTCGGTTGCTCATCTCTCGATAATTGATTGAGGATTACGCATAAGTGAAAGAGCGCCGTAAGTTCTGAGTGATCTTAAAGGCAGATATCATGAGTAGAGCATCTATATGAGCGAGCCTAAAAGCTTCATTTACCTTATACCAATATTTGCCACCCGAGATAAAAATGGTAATAACTTTGGATTACATCAGAGCACGTAGGGATGAAAATGATTCCGTACTAATTTTAAAATAATTTCATAGAAAGTTTGATCCCAAAAAGCTCAGTTACTGAAGGTATAATCTCATCACAAAGCCAATCTGCGCGGTAAATCTTCGATACATAAAACAGAAATTCCTTTTATTAGTATTTTTTTTCTTTGTAAACATTGGCATCCTCGTCTGAGGATTTTCCTTGAACAATTTGCATGTGAAAAACTTGCACCTGGTGATTTTAACTTTGAAAACAATAAAAACATACATTGAATTTCAAGCTGAAAACATCTCTCGGTGAAAGCGCTTGGGGAGACAGGAATATATTCATGCTCGCTGATGCGGACGTAACATACTTAATTGAAAAACCAACGGCTTTGTAATTTGTAGTTTTGGCGAAACGTATATTTTCCGTCGTTCATTGACACCAAATAGCACGTTATTCACAAAGGTAAGGAAATCATTTAGCGATAAAGTGTATTTTTTTCTTTTCATAAAACATGAAATTTTGGACGTTTTTGCCATCACAAATACGACGATAAAACTCGGTTGAATTCATGTTTCTTAAGGTTCCATACCACTTTATCCTCTACGTGTATCAGAAGGTTTCACGCGAGGAAGGTGGTGTAAGATGATGGTTGAATTATTCACCCGTTCGATATGTTTTACACATTTAGTTTTCATTTTGATCATCTGCCATAAATTTTTCCTTGAAATGCCCTAATCAGAGCTACAAAAAGGGGAAATCCCGGAGACGAAATAATAGTTATGTTATATTTCAGGGATGGATCCATACGAGCATGTGATGAATTGGCACTTTTTCGTCTTACGGGGATTTTTTATTCTTAACAAACGTCAGATCGTAATACATACATATTGTCCCGTCTTATGCATTGTTATGCAAATTCTCTTCAGCCCAGTTTTAACCTATGGTTTAAAGTCTTTGCTAATTAAAAAAGACAATATAGAAAAACTTCAAACCCTATAGCTCAGTAACCAAATTGACCGTCACTTTTTTTCCTTTCGTCCAATAGGATGTCTTCGGTTCTGTGTACAGAAGAAATATGTCACATAACACAAAAATCTGGATGAATTTTTTTTTTCCATGCGATGTAACACTCATTATTTAGTGAAACGATGAAGGTTATTCATCGAGCGCGTGGTTTTGTAATAGGGCTATAAGTCGTCCGTTTTTAACCGTCGTTTTCTGCAAGTACGCACTTACGAGGGAGTGCGTGCCAAGGAGATAACTTAAAGGATTCTGGTGGCATCGGCGTCCAAATTAAACCATACGATTCTGTCGCTTCCTTTCGTTTGATCAAGCAGCTGCAGAAACATTGAACTCTCCGAGTTTATATGCAACTGCGCCGCCTCGATCAACTTAGAATAAAAACCGACGACAAGGATTAGCATAGAAACGGAGTGCACTAATTTACGCAACGAATGGGTTTCTTAACAAACGTGGAAGTTTTCGCTTTCGCGATGTCTTTATTCCTGATGACTCTTGCAGCCTTGGTTATGAATTTCCTGGTTTGTTTGGTGGTTTATAGGAGCAAGGAACTCAGGCGACACATCTCCAGTGTGTTTATCGTGAATCTCGCAATCTGCGATTTTTTTATGGCTGTTTTCGCCATGCCGTATTCTTTTGGAGCAATTGTGGCCGACAAATGGCCATTTGGTAACTTTTGGTGTCAAACCAGTGCGTTTTGGAATATGGTGTTAGGGCTCGCAGCCGTATTAACGCTCGCTACCATATCCGCGGACCGCTATATTGCAGTTTGCAAGCCTCTGCAGTACAGAGCCAAAATGACAGTTCAATGTGCGTTAGCGATGATATCTTTCGTATGGTTGCAATCCATAATATTCTCTCTCATACCAATAGGTTTTGGTTGGTACGAATTCAATACGCGATATTTCTTCTGTACATTTCCGTCTGATCTTCAGGACATAAACTTCCTGGTGTTCACAGCGGCTACTTATGCAGCCAATGCTGGCGTTTCGCTCTTTGTTATGTTGGTGACTTACTATAAAATTTTCAACGTGGCAAAGCTGCACTCTCGCAGAATCGGACATGCAGTTATTACCGCAATACATCTCGCACCTGTTCGTGGACCCTTATCCACTGAATCAAGTCGTCAGCGAGAATTCAAGGCAGCGAGGAAAATTCTCTTCGTGATTGGTGCGTTTTTGTGTTGTTTGGCACCGTATACAACGCTCCGCATCCTTGAGCTGAGAGAAAACGGCTTGTCGCTAAGCCATACTGTAACAATCTCTTTAAGGTGGATTGCCTTTCTAAAGAGTGCTATAGATCCTTTTATATATGGTCTTCTTCAGAGGCGATTTCGGCGAGCATTGTTGGAATTATTTCTTGGGACACAAAGGGCTCGCTTAGCGAGAGGTTCTTTACCTTGTGGTCATGTTAGAATGAATGTGAGGGCTAAGAGGCAGTCATCGCAAAGCGAAACGGGGACATTTGTAACCGTTGCAACGAAACGAAGTTCCATCGAGTGAAAAGATGTAAATGTTATCAAGATGGTATACATTACTGCGATCCCTTATTTTTGACATGAGTGCAAATTTGTTGGCTCAATTGTGGTTCGCTTTACTATAAGAGGAAAAACTGCTCGAAAATAGCGAGCACAGGTAATAAAAAAGCGCATTTTACTTGTTAATTTTGTGCATGAAAACGATATCTAATTTTTACAGGGGAGCCAAATAGTCATCTTTTCATAATCACGCATTGCTAGCAGTTTGTTTATCTCCATTAAAATTTACATCTCTGGGAATGAAAGCATATGTTTTATCGTTGCGTCGTGAAAATTTTTTGCCATTCATCCAAAAACTGAAAATTTTTTTTCGCTAATGTCGCAAAGCTATAGCTTCGTTGCCCTTTTTTATTTTTTTTTCAAATTAGGGAGACATATGAACAAGCCATTGGAAAGCAAGTGACGCTTTTAAACCTTCTCCGGAAAGGAAAATTTTAAGTAAACAATCTATGACAAACAAAAACCATTCCTGCTGAAAGTTTTAATTACTATGCTCTTATTTCGCGATTACTGAAAAGCTCTCTGCAAGAGTGAGGACCGGCGTAATCAAAACAAAATGGGAATAATTCTTTTTAAGACGTGAACGTAACACAATTCTGAGTCAGAGACCTGGCTGGTAATTATTTTACTTAACAGAGAAACCATCCCCGTGAATAAATTGGAAGGGTTTTGATTAAAAGGTATGATATTATTCGTGCTAAGTGTTACATCTTTGTTCAAAAATGTTTTTAGAGGTATTCTTTTGGAAAGAAAGTGAGTAGATCAGCCTTAACATTTATATTCATATGCATTTCTGTCGCTGCAAGAGGATTAATATTTGTGAAATATAGAATATACTAAAGAATTGCCACGTTTTTGTACCATGATCGCCACGAAGATATTAAATCAAGAACATTGATTGAAATGCAGAATAAATAGGATAACCACGTATTTTTATATATAATCGTTTTCACTGATGGGGACTTTTTCATTCTTTGATGACTTTGATGAAAACTTGAATGACGAACCTCAATAAAAAGGAAATTTTTGGACTTTACTTTGCGCGAGCGACCGAGCTGACCTAGTCGCCTGGAAAAGTGATATGTAAATGTAAATTTAGTAAAGAGATGTTTTGATGCAATGCAAGTTTCATTTTTCTCCTTGTCACTCTCCCTCTGCAAAGAAAAGGAGTTTTCTAACAAAAGTTAATCGATTGCCTCTGTGCCACATGCATACACACGTGTATATATGCTTTCGTCAGCTGGCACTTGAAAGCCTCCTCGCATTCATCATAAGACGTCAATTTAGGAAACGAAATGAATTCTCATCAGGGGTTTCAAATCTTGGTCATTTGTTTCATGATTTTTCAAAATTTTGGCTTCTTTGAACTAATTTCTGGATTTCCAGTGAGAGTGATTCAATCATAGCTTCAGGTCATGTGGCCTGTGCTTGCTGCCTTAACTGAGTTCGAAAGAATTTGATTCCTAACGTTGTGATTCGCCAAAGAGACGAGGTCTTTTACTTCAACGTCATGTTCTGGCGACTTGACGGCGAAGATAAATGTCTCTGGCTGTTCTAGAAAGACAAACAATGTTTTCACTTACAAATTGGTCTGTGCTCTCACTGATCAATGCACCAGACTAAATAATGATTAACCAATTTACGAATTTATTCGAATACTTTGCAAATGTTTTACAAAAAAGAAAGTCAGAGAAAAATAAAAAAAGTGCCTTTGAAAAAAAAAATTTGGAATTCATTTGCCTGAGTATAAAATCAATCATGTCAATAGATGTTGTACAAAATTGCAGCTGCTTTTTGGTGAGAATTAGGATTGATCGTTAAAACTTCTAAATTTGTATGCTTTGTCCTCAAAGTTCAATTTCCTTAACTGTCCGATGTCCAAAATTATAAATGAAAATTTTAATTTACGGATGATCTTATCATTTATTCATATGAATATTCTTTTGATAACGTGCGGCATGTCTTCGACAAGACTCCACAAAAATTATTGTGTTTCCTGATAAGTGCATAACTAGAGAGGAACGAATCACATGGCTTTCGGTGGGGGGGG